TGCCGTTACGATTTTTCAAAAACCGAGTAAATATATGGTTAACCGTTGGCCATACTTTGACATTCACATTATTATAAAAATCAACAAGTAAGTGTTAAAATCTGGTAGACTAAAGTTTGATTTTTATTCACAATTAGCTCCAATTCGCCCAAAGTGTGCAAAGACACTTTTCATTCAACATAAAACCTTAAAAATGTAGTATATAACTTTTATATTGATGTATTATATATAAGAAATTAATGTTATTTGGTAATAATGTAGTATATGATTTTTATATTGATGTATTATATATAAAAAAATTAATAATGTTGGAAATATATAAAAATGTACTTAAAATTAATCTTCAAGTACTCTCCGATTTTTTTCGATATTCGAAAAAATCGCTAGAAGGAGACGGAGCGCCCGAGTACGCCTAACGAGTTTTAGAACACAACTTCCAGTTGGGGGAATGAGAAACTAAGCGACTTTTGGCTAGCTTAACGATGGAATCGGCCAAAGCATTACCAGATCTATGAATGTAGCTAAAAAAGAGTGAATATCAAAGAGGAGACCATAGATTTTCTTAATTTGCTCTTGCGAGTTCAAAGTTCGGATGAGATCCTGAACATCTGATTTGAGGTGGAGAGTGGTGAAGCCTTCCTCCAAGGCTTGATTGAGCACCGATCGAATTGTTAGAGCTTCCGTCATCAGAGGAGAGGAGACAAAACATTCAGCTGAGAGGCCTCGGGTCACTTCAACGCCTTCGCTATCAACGAAGATCCATCTTGATCCTCCAATTCCGGTTTCCTTGCACCAGGCTCCTTCAGTTTAGTAGGTAATGGCATTTTCCTGATTGGTTGTTCTCCTAGCCAGTTTGGGTCTCCGATCCTCCAGTTGTTTCACTTGTTGTGCCGATTGCCATTCATTTGCCTTTCTCAAAGCTTTCGTCATTGTCTCTGCAGGGGAGAAAAGGCGATCTTCGAATATAAGGTAGTTCCTTGCTTTCCAGATGGACCATCAGATCTAGGGGAATAGTGATCCCGCTCCTAAACCAGTTGGTGGCAAGCAAATCCAGTCTTTGGAGGTGGTTAGAGTGGCTGAGAAGGTTTGAAATTGGCTTGGGTTAATGGTGGTAGAGAAAGGAGCTATTTTCCATATGTCAGAGGGATAGGCGCAATGGAAAAACAGATGTTCCGTTGTTTCCAAGTCGCCACAGTGAACACAACATGGATTTTCCATGATTCCTCTGTTGAGAAGATTTTCGGCTAAAGGTATGGCCTATTATATTATTTTTCATAAGAATACCTTCATTTTTGGGGAACATTTAGCTTGCCAGATATCTGTAATTCAGTTGATGGATATGTGGTTTGGGCAGCTAGTTGGAGCTTTTTTCATGGCCATGGCTGTGTAGTATCCCGATCTTGCTGAGTAGACTCCCGATTTGGTGGGGAGCCAGATATAGGTGTCCAGAGCACCTTTTTTGCTATGTCGGATTGCAAGGGTTTTCTCTAGATAATGGAGTAAAATTTATTTGATATGGTATATATCCCAGTCTCGGTTGTGTTTGCTGAGTATAGTTGAAACTTTGAGCTCTATGTCCTGTAGGTTTGGTGACCATGTGGGTTGTGTTGGTTGCTCAAGCGAGAGCCAAAGGTCATTATAGAGGGATGTAGCGTTTTCATCTCCGATGGCTCTACCTAACTGGTTCTTGATGAGGTTTCTTCCGATTAGAATTCCTCGCCAGCCATGCGAGGTGGAAGATGTGATAGGGACAGTGAGGAAGTTGAGCTTATGAAAATACTTCCCTATTAGAATATGACTAAACAATAAATTCTAAAGCCAAAATATAAACCCTAAATCCAAAATTTAAACCATAAACCCAAAAAACTAAACCCTAAATCCAAAAATATAAATCCTAAAATCTAAACTCTAAATGCAAAAATTTAAAACCTAATTTAAGAAAATATTTCGTTCTATAACACATATACATAAAATAGTACAATACTGATTTTCACCAAAAATAACAAAGACTAAAATATGTATTATTGTAAAAATTACAACTTGATTTCTAGCCAAACAAAAATTAGATTGTTAAATTTTTTTATCTCAATATGATTATTCATTTTAATTTCCCTATATATTTATCATTTGAATGTAAAGTTTTTTTTCTTCTTGTCATTGGAACAAATGAAAATTTTGAAATAGTTTGTTCAGGCAATGGAAAACTCAAAATTATATAGACCCCTAGATTGTACTATATCCATTTTGCGCCGCAGTCTAACTAAATTGTTTCTACATCCGTCACCTTGTTCGGTTTTAAAGGCAAAGTGTATCTTTAAACAAGTTACAAACTTCTCTCATTAGTCATCTTTTTCATAAAAAAAATCTGATATTTACTTCTTTCTTCTCAAAGCGCCAACTTTTAATCTTTTGAAGGTACACGGAGTCGAACTTCGGTGGCATACTACCGAGTCACCGTGGCATGGCAATATATCTGTGATAGTGTCGGCGATATTTACTTTTATTATAAATACTTTCACTAAAATCAAATATCCAATAGTCTATTTATGTAGTCGTTTTTAACTTATTAGTCATACATGTTCATAACCTGAGCTTGCAAAGCGAATACAGATAGAAAACGACAAGTGTAACGTACTCTTTTTGTACAAACACATTACACGAAAAGGAGTCACGCCTGGCAGGTGTCAAACTTTCCCATACGTGTCTGGAACTCTGGATTCACTACTATAAATAGAACCAATTATATCCTTCAGAATGATATTAATCTTTGGTTTTTTCATTATTTTTCTTCGAGAAAAAAGATTTCGATTTGTTGTGGTTGTCAAAAAAAACCGCTATTAAATTTTATTTCGAAAATGAAACCCTTCTTTCATGTTCAATTTTTCTTAGGCCGCTAGCTTTATATTGATGCTTCATGCTTGTGAACAGTTTTCTTTAGTATATGGTATTATTTACAAACTCTTTTCTTTTTGGCCACTACTACTAACTTAGGCAGCATGGTATCGAGTAACTGACAAAAATAAATCAGATATGCTCCTTAATATTTTATGATAATAATAATATGGGAGAATATTTGCCATATTTTAATTTAAATGAAAAAGATACGTATATGGTTAACTTCTTTCCTCTTTAAAGAGGTAAAGTTTCCATATGGAACATTTGACACCATTCTAAATTTCTGATCCATGAAATTTTACAACATCTTGTCTCTTGTGAGTTTCATAATTAGAACTTGGAAGAACTGTCTATCTTTTTATTTATATTCATGTAAAATCTTGTTTTTGTTATCTTTCGGGTCAATGTGAATTTTTATTATTTCTTCTCGCATAAACAAAGCTTCCTTAACTTAGATAAAGGGATTTCACTTTTCTTTTTCCCGATAATGAAGAAGAATATACAACAAAATTTACTCAAAAATAATAGCAAAGTTAACTATTTGCGAACGACAAGTCGCACTCTCTGTTAGTCCTACACGTAATGCATGCATGCATTCTTTCGTTTTTTCTTCCCGCAAAGCACGTATTATCTTCCAACTTCCAATCTATTACTCGTTAATAAAAAGGTGTCCATTTAACTATTTTTGTCTAAGTTCAGTTTTCACTGTTTGTCCATGTTTTTCATTTATAAATATAAAACGATGACTATTCGGTTTGGTTTAATATAACTTGGATTAAACTAATATAAATTGTTGAATAGAGAGCTTTAAGCTAAAAAAATTTGCACAATAGCTTTTAGCTAAATTTATCTCTTATTAGAAAAAAAATTACTAGAAAAAAATTTAATTGATTGTTCTTTAAATCATTTTATTTGGATACATATAAAAATCCGTTTTTATGTTCTTTGGTTCGTTTGATAGATCAATATTTCGGTTAAGCACCGTTTAACCGGATTGGATATTTTACCTCATTAATATTATATTGTATATATTTTTGTAGCGATAATCATTAATTAATGAAAAAGATGGTTCTGGTTCATTAACTTTAGCTATATATAAACCCGATGAAATGGATACAGAAACACACAAAACAAAAACGCACCCCAAAAAAAAAAATTGAACCAATAATATTAATAAATATATTGGAAAGTAAAATAAAATGGAAAACAAAGGATCATCGGGGAAGAACATCGAACAAGTTCAAGAAAGTTGTTATCACGAGTGGATGAATTTACAATCTGAACGGATCCCCGAGCTCAAACAAGCCTTAGCTCACCGACGAACTCACGAAAACGCCGACGCTGACGCCGATGATGACAAACTCCGTGAATTAACACAAAAGATCATCGGAGATTTCAAAAACTACGCCGGAAAAAGAGCTGATCTATCTCACCGATGTAGCTCAAACTACTACGCACCGTCGTGGAACACTCCTTTAGAGAACGCTCTGATTTGGATGGGTGGTTGCAGACCATCTTCTTTCTTTAGGCTTGTTTATGCTTTGTGTGGGTCCCAAACTGAGATTCGTGTGACTCAGTTTCTTCGTAACGTCGACGGTTACGATTCTTCAGGTAAGTGTTTGGACGTTTTCGGTTTTCAGAGCCTATGGATGAGTTTTTTAAATTATTTAGTTCGATCGATTTTGCAAAAAAATTGATTGGTTTGGATCCGTTTCCTATGTATTTGGTTTTAAATTTAAAAAATCAAATAACTAATGTTTTTTCATATCCTTTTACAAAATAATAATAATTATAACAATAACTAGTTTTTTCAGTTGGTCCTTTTAGAAAAGAAAAAAACGATTGGTTGCTTTGAACCGATTTCTCAGTTTTTTCGATTATTCGTTTTTTAAGAATTGGTGACCGAGTTGGAAGTATTTAATGAAGATCTTTAACAAAAAAAGAGTTGGAAGTATTTTTGTTTTCTTAGCATTAGATTTTAGAAGTTTTTTTTTTTTGTAAAAGGATATTAGATTTTAGAACTTATACTATAACATATGAATAAATAATATAATAATATATTTTAGAGTTTCATTCAGTTTGATTTGTTTTGATTCAATTTTGTTCGATATAAAAATAATAGAATCTACGGGTTTATATCAAATCTCCTTTCGGTTTCATTTTAAGAATTTGATTTGGATTTATAGTGTATATATATATATATATATATATATACATACACAATATGTTCAGCCCCTATATAATCAACATATTTGGTTTGTTTTAATTTATTTATTTACATCATAATGATCTTTTTGTCAACTACATCAAAATGATTAAACCGATAGATTTTTTTTTGTTAAAGTAAACCGATAGATTTACACACATCTTTGTTTAGCTTTGGTTTGGTTTTGCAATTTCTCTTTAATAATTGTTTTTTTCCGGTTTAATAATTTAGCTTGGTCTAACAGGTACCGGCGGGGCATCACTTAGCGATCTAACGGCGGAGCAACTGGCGAAGATCAACGTGTTGCATGTGAAAATCATAGATGAAGAAGAAAAGATGACCAAGAAAGTCTCAAGCCTGCAAGAGGATGCTGCGGATATTCCCATCGCAACGGTGGCTTATGCAGAGGAGCACGTTGGAGAGCCCAACAGGGCGGTGGATCAGGCTCTCGACAAGCAAGAAGAGGCTATGGCCAATTTGTTGGCCGAGGCCGATAAGCTGAGGGTAGACACTTTAGCGAAGATTGTCGAGATTCTAACGCCGATACAAGGGGCGGATTTCTTGCTCGCTGGAAAAAAGCTTCATCTGTCGATGCATGAGTGGGGAACAGTAAGAGATCGTCGCCGTCGTGAGTGTATAATTGAGGATGGAGTTAATCCTGCCGGAGAGGAGGAGAAGTAATCACTATAAAATAATATTTTAGGTACGTAACCTGTCATATATGAAATTTCATAATAACAAGATTTATAATCTTGGTATTATAAAGTTCAGTGACATAGGTTAGGGATTAATATATATATATATATATATATATATATATATATATATATATATATATATATATATATGTTAAATTTTATCTTCCGAAGACTTGTCGTAGCAGAGTACAATGTGTTATTTCAGTAATATTATGTTTTTCCGTTTCGTAAATTAGATATTTACAGTTAAAATATTGTTACATATAAGATATAAAATAGGTGGATGTTTTTTTTTCAAAATGGAGAATTATATTGGATGATATTTCTAAATATAATTAATAATATGTGTTGTTTTGTCCCAAAAAATCCTATGTGTTGTCAATTTTTTTTTTAATAATCCTATGTTTATAATATTTTTTTTTTGTTTTTCGAATTAAAATTTAGTTTATAAGATACATTTTGATGTTTATTAATTTGTTTAATTTAAAGATATTTTGACTATTTTCTTTCCAGAGTTCAGCAACGTGACATGTATTTAATCACAGATATGCAATAATACAGACGATGCATGTACTGAGATGTACAAGTGTGACTATTGTTGCATGCACAGCGACGACAAATATAAAATAGTCATTGGTGTGTTTACGTGGTAATATGTTCTCGTCACGACAAGTCAACAGGAGATTTCGATACGAGATTCCATTGGAGATTATATTCTTTTTAGTTTTATTTTGTGAGTGTAGGGAAGCCAAAAAGAAAACTGCTGTATCTAATGTCGAATATATAGACCTTTCCCCCGCCATGTGTTCGCTGTTTCATCATCTTCATCTCACTTTTTAACACAAGGTGCAGAAATAACCTTTCATGATTTTTTTTTTTTTTTTTTTTGTTGAGAAAAACCCATTCATGATTACTTCACGTAAATCTTGAAAACATTGAATTTTAAATGAAATATGTAGCCTGTTAAAAGAAAACAAATATTAGCCTTCCCGAAATGAGAATTGATGTTTTACTTGAATGCTTTCCTAATTTAAGTAAACGCGAGAATTTACGTGATGGTTAATTAGAAAAACAAGAGCTATAACCGATAAAATTCAATATGGTATCAAGTTTCAACCAAATCATAGATCCTAATATCCTATGTAAGATTAGAATTACTATAAACTCTCAACAAATTTATGGTGGAGATACAGAAAACATAGTTGAACTTGAACGATTCATTCTATAAATTCGGAAAACAAAATTTCAGTTATTTTAATGCGACTTTAGCTAAAGTTGATTATTGTGGATAATTAGTCTGAATTTTGGTCCGGAACCATCCAAGTATAACTATGTAATCCAACATGATTCAATATTAATTTTAAACATACAATAGAAACTCTATAATTTGATACTCGATAAATTAATAAACACGATAAATTAATAAATTTCTCTGGTCCCGAGTTGGGCCGGTGTAAAATATGACACAATTCGATAAGATAATAAGATAATAACTTTTTTTGAACTCCTATGTAAAATATGGTCCCAATAATCATAAATTAATAATTATTTTTATTTTTATATATATACACCTAAAATATCTAACTACTAAAATATGAATCTCTCATACACCAAATATATATGGAAACTAAAAGCAAAAAAAAAGAATTTTCAATAGTATGGCAAGTATGAGAAAATATGAACAATAAAGTAAATATGGAAACATTTGGAAAAATTTAAGAAAATAAATGTATAAAGAAAACTTCTGATTTAATATTGATTTTTTTTATAAATATTTTTAATCAAAATCTATATATTAATAACTCTATAAATTAATAAAATATCAAAGTCCCGACATTATTAATTTATAGAGTTTCTACTAAATCAAATGTGAGTACTATCTAATATATTATTTGCGAAGTGATTATTTCGTTTCCAGCCACCACGTTAACTCTCAGCTGGTTGATTACTCGGTTACCCTTAATGAAAATTCTATTTTTAAATCTTCATAATTTCCTTTTTTATTTTCACGATTTATATTTTTTATTTAAAATATTTTATGATGATAATAATCCTAACTACCATATTACGCGCCACAATTATGTAAAAATTAGAATATTTGGAAAGAAAAAAAAAGGAAAACCTAGGTTTCTTAACCGACTATGTTTTATATAAATAGATAGCAATATTGAAAATCTAAACAATCCACAATTCTTCAACCTAGAGGTGAATACTTTCTTCGAATCCATATATCATCTTCTCTCATGTAGGTTATTCGTTTTTAGTTTGATCTTACGTATGTACCTTTAAGTTAAAGTCGTATAATCAGTCGATATGTTCTCTGTTCGACAATAGATTCACAGGAATATCCGATCCATTCATGATTTCTTCAGTCTGAAAAAAAAAAAAACAGAACCAATGATGCCGAGATCCCTAGCTTCATGACGCTTTACTTCGAAAATCCTGATCATCAAGGTCACCAAGTTGGCCCTGATGATCCTCAGATCACAGAAGCTGTAGTGAACATCGATAGGTTAATAGGAAGAATCATCGATGGGTAAGAGAAAAGAGAGGTTTTTTATGATGTGACAATGATTATGGTTGGTGATCATGGAATGGTTGGAACTTGTGATTAGAAAGTCGTTGTTCTTGATGATTTAGCTTCTTGGATCGAAATCCCTAGCAGCTGGGTTCAGTATTACACTCCGTTGCTAGCGATTAAACCGCCTTCGAATGGAAACGCAGCGGATATGTGGCGAAGATGAACGAAGCCCTAAGCTCTGGTGAAGGAAGTTGAGAATGGCAAGTACTTGAAAATTTATCTCAAAGAGGATTTACATAGCAGGCTGCATTATGTGGAGAATGATCGGATCCCTCCTATTATAGGATTGGTCGATGAGGGTTTTAAAGTGGAGCAGAAGAAGAGTGAAGCCAAAGAATGTGGTGGAGCTCATGGGTACGACAATGCCTTCTTCTCGATGAGAACTATATTTATAGGGCATGGTCCGATGTTCTTGGAGGGAAAGAAAGTGGCTTCTTTTGAGAATGTTGAGATATACAATGTGATCAGTTCGATTCGAGTGTATAAAAATTATCACATGTTTTTTTTTGTTTGTTACAGAAATGTTTTTTACCAAAAAAGAAGAGAAATATACCGGAGGAAGCCGCGAGAGTGCGATCTTCAAAGCCACCGTCTTCCGTCGCCCATCTACTCCGAGACACCACCGTTGTTCGTAAAGTCGTCCAGTGGAAGCTAACCTCTTTTACGCTCATCGCCATGTCTCCCCTTATTTTTTCATGAGAGAGTGAATAATGTTCCACCATTGTTGTTGTTGCTTAGAATCCAAGTTACCTCCCTCCACCTTTGAGCTGTTGTTGCGTTGAGTAGAACCTATCGTTGTCACTGGTAAGCGAGACTGGTTTATGATTGCCGTTTACAAAACTGGTTTGTGAGCTTGTGGACATTGTTGCTTGAGGCCTAAGCTTCTGTTGGTAATTGTTGCTTCATAATATATGTGATTTTACCTCCAAAATATGTTCTTGCTTTTAGTATCCACCATGTTGTCCTTCTTAACTAGCTTTCGGATGTGAGCTCGTGGTTCTCCCATAGTGCTCAGTCTGTTGCTCATTGAACTGATTAAGGAGAGATATATCATTTAGATGTATATTGCCCGTGTCGCAAGACTGAATTCATTTAATGCTCGATGAGATAAGAAGTTTTAAAGCAGTTGGATGCAAAGACGAGGGATTGTGCTGCTTTTACGCTGATCAAATAGAGTAATGAACAATATGATTAACATCTAAGATTGTTTATCCTACTTTTAGTTTGATTACATCTTTCGTAAGAGTGGAGAAAACGAAGAAACCCAGAGGATAAGGAAGAAGAAAATAGAAGAAGGAGAAGATGAAACAAAAAAAAATGAAAATTAAGATGTTAGATAAATAAAATAAAGAAAAAAATGTGGTTAGGCTGATCAAATAAACCCTAACCCAGTTTGTAATTTGTGGTTAGGCTGATCAATTCTTTATTTACCAACTATGTATTGTATTATCGGTGAGTCACCTCTATGATAACTCTGTTTTGTAAACCAAAACTACTACTGACATTCTGGTGTATGATAAATGCTCAAAAATCTTCAAATGTCATTACTGTTATAATAAAACTACTTTTAAATCCTAAATTTTGAACCCTAACTTTACAGTAAACCCCCTTCCCGTACACCATAAGGAGATATAATTTATAAGTTTGTGATCAATAGAATAGAGACAAGTACAAAATGAGGAAAAACATAGAATTAAACGTTATCTAAACCTTGAGCACATTACGCCATTAACCATAAATAGAATGATGTTGATGTAAATTGAGATACATAAATGGCATAATAAAAGAAAAAGAATAACAATAAATTAACCTTTTTATGAAATTTCAATAAAGATATATTGAGATTTTAGGGAAATTATTGCCATCAATACTTATAAGTACTTCTCATAGTTTATTTTGTTTCCTTTCTATCAAAACATATATAATGAAGAAGAAGAATAACATAAGAGCAGAATAAGAAGATAAAATAAAAAAAAAAATCGTAGATGTTGTGATTATTTGAAAATGTTAATTGTAAATAAAATAATAAAACGAATAAAAACCCGAAAATAAAAAGATTACGATAAAGAAAGAGGAAAAGAAAAAGAGATTAGAAAGTTGGATAAGAATTAAAAAATAACGGTAGAAAATGAAGGGAAAAAAATCTGAAAGAAATAGAAGACAAAGTAAAAGAATAAGAAGATAAAATGGGGTTGGGATTTACAATGTATGTTTTATATTGATGGGTGTAACATCTCGGTTTGTAAATGAGGAGATGCTTAAGAGAATTGATTTGGCTATCTATGTCAACAATGTGTACTTACCTTTTTGGTCAAAAGTTTATAAGTAACTCCAGAGTTAAGCGTGCTTGGGCTGGAGTAGTTGAAGAATGGGTGATCTTCCGGGAAGTGGTTTCCGAAATCGTGTGAGTGAGGCCAAAACACGGGGAAAGGTCGGGTGTTGATTGCAGGGATAGTAAACAAGTCATTAGAGCCTCTCAAAAATAACGGACCGGCCGTCGGACAGGGGTGAGCCCATGGGCCGAGATGGGCCTGTGGATGCAGAGAGAGGGCGTGGGTGACTCACCGGGAGGAACGGTCGGGGTGTTATAATGGGTGTAAGGTTTAGTTTTTCCAGCATTTTAAAATTTATGAATACACTACATTACCGATTTAAAAAATCTTCCTTTAAAAAAAAAAGCAAAAGCGGAACCAATTTGTAATGCGGGGTTCATGTGTGCGGTTTAAAGGGATTATAATGTGGGTTTGGGTTTAAGGTGTAAGGCTGTTTAGGGGAGGGGGTTGAGGGGGGTTTAGGGTGTAGGGTTTTTTTTTTTTTTTATTCAACAGCCTAAGTTCCTAGATCGGCTCGGGAGCGAGACCGGTGGAACTGAGTTTACATAGTACACATCATAGGTTTATATTGATGGATGTAGGGTTTAGTTTTTGGTGCATTTTTAAAATTTTGAATTTAAATGGAAGTATATCAAAATTAAAAATTGTTGATTATAAATTTTTATCTAGCATTCTAAAATAAATTGAGAAATAGAAAAAAGCAAAATAATTAAAGCAAACACAGAATCAAAAGATAACAAAAAAAAAAAATTATAAGATCTCGACTATATAAATATTTCACAAATTCTTGAAAATATAAAGTATCAAATGAATTGATAAGTGAAATACAAGACATAAACAAGAACAAAAAACAAGAGAGATAAAGAAAAGAAGACAGTAGAAAAGAAGATGGAAAACTTTGAAAAGAAGAAAACTCGAACATGAAGAAAAAAAATCAAAGAATAAAAAATGGAATGTGAAGAGAAAAAAGACAAAGAAGAGATAAATAAAAACTAGAATAAGATGATGTGAGAGAAGACGAAGATAATAAAGATAGAGAAAGAGAGATGGAGAATGAGAAAGATAAAAAACGGAAAAAGAGTGTAAAGAAAATTAGAAATAAAAAGAAGAATAGTGAGTTGAAAGATATGAAGACACAATAAAAGATAGAAGAAAATAAATTGGGAGAAGAAGAAGAAGAAGAAAAAACACAGAATCAAAAGATAACAAAAAAATAAAATTGTAAAAGATCTCGACTATATAAATATTTCACAAATCCTTGAAAATATAAAGTATCAAATGAATCGATAAGTGAAATACAAGACATAGATAAGAACAAAAAACAAGAGAGTAAAAGAAAAGAAGACCGTATAAAAGAATATGGAAAACTTTGTAAAGAAGAAAACTCGAACATGAAGAAAAAGAAATCAAAGAATAAAAAATGGAATGTGAAAAGAAAAAGACAAAGAAGAGATAAATAAAAACTAGAATAAGATGATGTGAGAGAAGACGAAGATAATAAAGATAGAGAAAGAGAGATGGAGAATGAGAAAGATTAAAAAACGAAAAAAGAGTGTAAAGAAAATTAGAAATAAAAAGAAGAATAGTAAGTTGAAGGATATGAAAACACAATAAAAGATTGAAGAAAATAAATTGGGAGAAGAAGAAGAAAAAGAAAAAAATGATGATGACAATGAAAAAAAAAGGAAGAAAAAGAAGAAGATGGAATCACTAGAGAAGAATATAAGAGAGAAAAAACAACCACTACAAAAAAAATGCTTCTAAAAAAATAGAAAAATAAAAACAAATCGAGAACCAATTTGTAATGTGGGTTTAGGTGTGCAGTTTAGGGGGGAGGGTTATAATCTGGGTTTGGGTTTAGAATTTAAAGAAAATTAGAAATAAAAAGAAGAATAGTGAGTTGAAGGATATGAAGACACAAGAAAAAATTAAAGAAAACAAATTGGAAGAAGAAGAAGAAGAAATAAAAAAAAACATTATGACAAGGAATAAAAAATGGAAGAAAAAAAGAAGATGAGATTACTGGAGAAGAATAAAAGAGAGAAGAAAATAATCATTATAAAAAAAACCTTCTTTTAAAAAAACTAATAAAATAAAAGCAAATCCAAAACCAATTTGTAATGTGGGTTCAGGTGTGCGGTTTAGGAGGGAGGTAGAGGGGTGGGGAGGGTTATAATGTGGGGTTTGGGTTATAATTTGGATTTGGGTTTAGAGTGTAGGGTTGTTTAGAGGGTGGGTTATAATGTGGGGTTTGGGTTATAATCTGGGTTTGGGTTTGGAGTGTAGGGTTGTTTAGGGGAGAGGGTTATAATGTGGGGTTTGGGTTTAGGGTGTTGGGTTTATATTGATTGGTGTAGGTTTAGTTTTTGGTGTATTTTTAAATATTTGAATTAAAATTAAAAATTGTTGATTATAANAAGAAGAAAACTCGAACATGAAGAAAAAAATCAAAGAATAAAAATGGAATGTGAAGAGAAAAAAAGACAAAGAAGAGATTATGTGAGAGAAGACGAAGATAATAAAGATAGAGAGAGAGAGAAGGAGAATGAGAAAAATAAAAAAACAGAAAAAGAGTGTAAAGAAAATTAGAAATAAAAAGAAGAATAGTGAGTTGAAGGATATGAAGACACAATAAAAGATTGAAGAAAATAAATTGGGAGAAGAAGAAGAAGAAGAAGAAGAAGAAAAAACACATAATCAAAAGATAACAAAAAAATAAAATTGTAAAAGATCTCGACTATATAAATATTTCACAAAACCTTGAAAATATAAAGTATCAAATGAATTGATAAGTGAAATACAAGACATAGACAAGAACAAAAAACAAGAGAGTAAAAGAAAAGAAGACCGTATACAAGAAGATGAAAAACTTTGAAAAGAAGAAAACTCGAACATGAAGAGAAAGAAATCAAAGAATAAAAAATGGAATGTGAAGAGAAAAAAGACAAAAAATAGATAAATAAAAACTAGAGATAAGATGATGTGAGAGAAGACGAAGATAATAAAGATAGAGAGAGAGAGATGGAGAATGAGAAAGATAAAAAAAACGGAAAAAGAGTGTCAAGAAAATTAGAAATAAAAAGAAGAATAGTGAGTTGAAGGATATGAAGACACAATAAAAGATTAAAGAAAATAAATTGGGAGAAGAAGAAGAAAAAGAAAAAATGATGATGACAACGAAAAAAAGGAAGAAAAAGAAGAAGATAGAATCACTAGAGAAGAATATAAGGGAGAAAAAAAACAACCACTACAAAAAAAAAATGCTTCTAAAAAAATAGAAAAATAAAAACAAATCGAGAACCAATTTGTAATGTGGGTTCAGGTGTGCAGTTTAGGGGGGAAGGTTATAATCTGGGTTTGGGTTTAGAATTTAAAGAAAATTAGAAATAAAAAGAAGAATAGTGAGTTGGAGGATATGAAGACACAAGAAAATATTAAAGAAAACAAATCGGAAGAAGAAGAAGAAGAATAAAAAAAAAAGATTATGACAACGAATAAAAAATGGAAGAAAAAGAAGAAGATGAGATTAC